GGGAATCATAAACATGTGCGAGATTTGTTTTGGAACAAATTTAAAACAAGCTATTTAAATGAAACTATGGAGTTATTTTTCTATAAAATTGTACTAGTATATAAATCGGAGCATGGAGAATTGGTGGACTATATGTATACATATATATAGCTGCCATAGGAACAATCGGACGATTTATAAAACTAAGATCAGTAATTACCTATGACCAGTAATTATCTGAACCCTAAGTATCTATGAACAGTAAGTAACGATGGTCAGTAATTAACTTTAATCAGTAATTCTCTATGACCAGTAAGTATGTATGTATGATCAGTTACTAACTTCGAACACTAATAAACAATGACTTGCAACTTTTGAAACACAACACATACCTGAGACGTGGCCGGCAGCAGTCACTTCGTTCCGGGGAGGTTAGAAGCAGTTGGGAATCATAAACATGTGCGAGATTTGTTTTGGAACAAATTTAAAACAAGCTATTTAAATGAAACTATGGAGTTATTTTTCTATAAAATTGTATCTTTATATAAATCGGAGCATGGTGAATCGGTGGACTATATATACATATATATATAGCTGCCATAGGAACAATCGGACGACTTATCGAAGTAAGATCAGTAATTAGCTATGACCAGTAATTAACTATGAGCATTAAGTAACTCTGAACACTAAGTAACTATGTTCAATAAGTAACTATGATCAGTAAGTATCAATGAACACTAAGTATCTATGACCAGTGAGTAACTATGATCAGTAAGCATCTATGACCAGTAAGTATGTATGTATGTATGATCACTTACTAACATTGAACACTAATAAACAATGACTTGCAACTTTTGAAACACAACACATACCTGAGACGTGGCCGGCAGCAGTCACTTCGTTCCGGGGAGGTTAGAAGCAGTTGGGAATCATAAACATGTGCGAGATTTGTTTTGGAACAAATTTAAAACAAGCTATTTAAATGAAACTATGGAGTTATTTTTCTATAAAATTGTATCTTTATATAAATCGGAGCATGGTGAATCGGTGGACTATATATACATATATATATAGCTGCCATAGGAACAATCGGACGATTTATCGAAGTAAGATCAGTAATTAGCTATGACCAGTAATTAACTATGAGCATTAAGTAACTCTGAACACTAAGTAACTATGTTCAATAAGTAACTATGATCAGTAAGTATCAATGAACACTAAGTATCTATGACCAGTGAGTAACTATGATCAGTAAGCATCTATGACCAGTAAGTATGTATGTATGTATGATCACTTACTAACATTGAACACTAATAAACAATGACTTGCAACTTTTGAAACACAACACATACCTGAGACGTGGCCGGCAGCAGTCACTTCGTTCCGGGGAGGTTAGAAGCAGTTGGGAATCATAAACATGTGCGAGATTTGTTTTGGAACAAATTTAAAACAAGCTATTTAAATGAAACTATGGAGTTATTTTTCTATAAAATTGTATCTTTATATAAATCGGAGCATGGTGAATCGGTGGACTATATATACATATATATATAGCTGCCATAGGAACAATCGGACGACTTATCGAAGTAAGATCAGTAATTAGCTATGACCAGTAATTAACTATGAGCATTAAGTAACTCTGAACACTAAGTAACTATGTTCAATAAGTAACTATGATCAGTAAGTATCAATGAACACTAAGTATCTATGACCAGTGAGTAACTATGATCAGTAAGCATCTATGACCAGTAAGTATGTATGTATGTATGATCAGTTAGTAACATTGAACACTAATAAACAATGACTTGCAACTTTTGAAACACAACACATACCTGAGACGTGGCCGGCAGCAGTCACTTCGTTCCGGGGAGGTTAGAAGCAGTTGGGAATCATAAACATGTGCGAGATTTGTTTTGGAACAAATTTAAAGCTATTTAAATGAAACTATGGAGTTATTTTTCTATAAAATTGTACTAGTATATAAATCGGAGCATGGAGAATTGGTGGACTATATATATACATATATATAGCTGCCATAGGAACAATCGGACGATTTATAAAACTAAGATCAGTAATTAGCTATGACCAGTAATTAACTATGAGCAGTAAGTAACTCTGAACCCTAAGTATCTATGAACAGTAAGTAACGATGGTCAGTAATTAACTTTAATCAGTAATTCTCTATGACCAGTAAGTATGTATGTATGATCAGTTACTAACTTCGAACACTAATAAACAATGACTTGCAACTTTTGAAACACAACACATACCTGAGACGTGGCCGGCAGCAGTCACTTCGTTCCGGGGAGGTTAGAAGCAGTTGGGAATCATAAACATGTGCGAGATTTGTTTTGGAACAAATTTAAAACAAGCTATTTAAATGAAACTATGGAGTTATTTTTCTATAAAATTGTATCTTTATATAAATCGGAGCATGGTGAATCGGTGGACTATATATACATATATATATAGCTGCCATAGGAACAATCGGACGACTTATCGAAGTAAGATCAGTAATTAGCTATGACCAGTAATTAACTATGAGCATTAAGTAACTCTGAACACTAAGTAACTATGTTCAATAAGTAACTATGATCAGTAAGTATCAATGAACACTAAGTATCTATGACCAGTGAGTAACTATGATCAGTAAGCATCTATGACCAGTAAGTATGTATGTATGTATGATCAGTTAGTAACATTGAACACTAATAAACAATGACTTGCAACTTTTGAAACACAACACATACCTGAGACGTGGCCGGCAGCAGTCACTTCGTTCCGGGGAGGTTAGAAGCAGTTGGGAATCATAAACATGTGCGAGATTTGTTTTGGAACAAATTTAAAACAAGCTATTTAAATGAAACTATGGAGGTATTTTTCTATAAAATTGTACTAGTATATAAATCGGAGCATGGAGAATCGGTGGACTATATATATACATATATATAGCTGCCATAGGAACAATCGGACGATTTATAAAACTAAGATCAGTAATTAGCTATGACCAGTAATTAACTATGAGCAGTAAGTAACTCTGAACCCTAAGTATCTATAAACAGTAAGTAACGATGGTCAGTTATTAACTTTAATCAGTAATTCTCTATGACCAGTAAGTATGTATGTATGATCAGCTACTAACTTCGAACACTAATAAACAATGACTTGCAACTTTTGAAACACAACACATATCTGAGACGTGGCCGGTAGCAGTCACTTCGTTCCGGGGATGTTAGAACCAGTTGAGAATCATAAACATGTGTGAGATTTGTTTTGGAACAAATTTAAGAGCAAGCTATTTCAATGAAACTATGGAGTTAATCTTCTATATCATTTTACTAGCGTGTATATATGTGGGAGCATGGCGAATCGGTGGACTATATATACACATGTATTTAACTGCCATTGGAACTATATAGAATCAATAAGTATATTTCAGCAATAAGTACGTAAGTAAGTAAGTAAGTATCTATTACCCAGTAACTATTATTTAAAAAAAAAAATGGCAAAAAATATTGTTTCTCTATTTTATACTCAGAAAGATTCGCCTGTTTGTGCTGATCAAGAAAATATATATGGTTTATAGGGTCGGAAATAACTCTTTCACAATGTTTTAAGCTTCAGACTGAAATGATAATACCCTGTTTATTCGCATTTCTTGATTCAATATTTATCTTTATTTTTAAGGCAATTTTTTGTAAAACCCAAAGCTTAAAAAATTCCTAACTAAGCCAAAAATGCCTCAATTTCAATACGGAAGCCAGTTCTGAACTAGTTTTGAAATGGTTTATAAATCTGCATACTCAGTTAAAAATGTACAAAATTTTTAATTTTTATCAAATTTAGCTAATTTTAATGATGTCACCCCTTATAATTTTCTGAAAAAAATGGCCAAAAAATGTGTTTCTTTTTTTGTACCCAGAAAGATTCGCCAGTTTGTGCTGATCAAGAATATATATAGTTTATAGGGTCGGAAATGACTCCTTCACAACGTTTGAAGACCCTGACTAAAACTACATTACCAATATTTATGCCGATATTTATTTACATTTTTATATGCAAATTTATATTGACAAATTAAAATTTAAAGAACTCAACTAACCCATAAAAGCATTTATTTTAATTCGGAAATCGTTCCATGTCAGTTTCCTTCAGAATAAATAAATCTGCATTGCCCCCGACTGGCCTTAATTTAATCAGCCCGATTCTTAAATTTCACAATTTCACGTTTATGATATACCAGGCGAACAGAATCGGAAAGAGATGGCAGCAATCCAGCAGCACAAGTGATTTACACGGCAAGGGTATTGAGATAATGCCAAAGTAAAACGGAGCTTTTCAGCATTCCAAATTCTAATGGCCGTCCTTTGTTTACATCTGATTAGACCAATCAGAGACTTTCTTCAAGTTTGTCTCATCTAAGATCCGTTACTTTGGACTTTAAAATTAATGGCCGCCCTTTGTTTACATCTGATTAGACCAATCAGAGACTTTCTTTAAGTTCGTCTCATCTAAGATCCGTTACTTTGGACTTTAAAATTAATGGCAGCCTTTTGTTTACGTCTGATTAGACCAATCGGACACGATCCTTACGTTCCCAACTTTTAAGAACCGTTACTTTGGAGCATTTGCATCAGGGGAATAGCTGCTTGCTGAATGTTATGTTCGCCTGGTAGATAAAATCAAGTATTTTAGGAATTTGTATGGGGAGTTCGCTAAATTGAATTTGTTGTTTGTTGTTGGAGTTGTTATTTCTTGGAGTTGTCGTTGCATTGCATAGAAATTCCTAGTTAAAATTTGCCTACGATATGAAAACATAATGCGAAGGCAAGTTCTTGCCAAATTGAAACCATGTATTAAGGCAGCCAATTAGTTAGTCTATGCTTTAAAGATATTATTATATTTGCATTTCAAAACCTCTATTTAAAACTAGTTTCAAGTTCCCTAATTTTCCCAAGGATTTAGACAACTCTTTTATTTACAGTTTTTGCAGCTTCATTGGCTGCGCGTGCTTTTTCGTATATATTTCATATATTTTTTATATTTTTTGGGTTTCATTCAAACCATGTGACTTAATAAATACTAGAATAGAGGAAAAAAAAAATCACACTACAGGCTAGGGAAAAAAGAATAGGATAGGATATAGGCGTAGGACATAGGCATTGGGAGAGTATTAGAACAGTTGAGTAAATTCAAGGAGAAAAAGAAGATAAGATATAAGATATATGTATATAGGATATTGGGGTACCACCCGCTAAGGACCAACAAAAAGAAAGAAAATAGAAAAGTAATAAAGAACGAAAAAAAATATGGAAAATTGGTTGACTCTCTGGCTGGCTTGTTGGCTTTCTCGGTTCGGTTCGGATCGGTTCGGTTCGTCTTGGCTACTGGTTCGTCGTCATCGGATCTATGTACAGGACTCTCAGGACTCAGGGATCGGAATCGGACCTAGGCGCTGGCATTGGCATACTGACGCTTCTCCAGCGAGATGTTAAAGCCGTTCTCCAGCTTCAGGATGATGTCGGCCTGCAGCTTGAAGTCCGCCTCCGTGTCGGTGGAGTGGACGATGTAATTCCTCACTATGGTGGACAGGAGGACCTTCAGCTTGAGCATGGCGTACTTGCGGCCCACGCAGCTCCTGGGGCCGGCGCTGAACGGAATGAAGGCATAGTAGTGCCTGTTGGCCATGCGCTCCGGCAGGAAGTTGTCCGGGTCGAACTTGGTCGGGTTGGGATAGATGTCGGGGCGACGGTGGACACTGTACTGCAGCACGATGCAGGTGGTGCCCTTGGGCACGGTGTAGGGACCACTGGCCAGCTTCAGGTCAAAGTCCAGGCGGCGGGCAATCAGAGGTACTGGTGGGTACAACCTCAGAGTCTCGAGGATCACGCGCTCCAGGTACTTCATCTCCATGGTGTCGGCGAAGGTGCAGTCGCGCAGCATGTTGTCGCCGAAGATGGCCTTCTGCTCGGCAAAGACCTTGGCCTGGATGTCCTTGTGGATGCCCATCATGCAGAGGGCGAAGCTGGAGCCCGCCGAGGTGGTGTCGTGGCCCTCGAACATAATGGTGTTGACCTCATCGATGATGTCCTTCTCGTTCCACTCGATGTCCGGGTTCTTGGCCATCTCCACCATGGCGTCAAGCAGGGCTAGGCGCCTCTTGGCGCCCACATCGTTCTCATCGATGTCGTCCAGATCGTCACGAAGGCCCTCCTTCTTGGCCACCGGGGAGCTGCTGCTGGGAGCGATCTCCTCAATGATGGCCCGCGACTCCTCTTGGAAGTTCTCCTTGCGGTCCCGCACCACCTTGCTGGTCATGCCCAAGATGATGTCCATCATCCGGTCGCCCTTCTCGCGCAGCTTGGTGAATTTGTAGATGGAGTCCAAGCGGTACAGGAGCTTCACCTGACGCTTGTGGATGATGTCGCACATGTCGACGACGGCCTGGGCGTACTCAAAGCTCTTGTTGCCCTCCGGCAGCTTCTTCACGCCCATCGCCGTGGACAGCAGGATGTCGACGGTGGTCGTGGACATGTAGTCGTGCACGTCGAAGGACTTGCCCGCCTCGAGGGCCATGCGACCCACCACGCTCTTGGAGTGGTCAACGAACGTCGGCACGAAGCTCTTGAGGATGCTCTGGTGGAAGGTGGGGGCGATCATCTTGCGGTGGTGGCGCCAATGGTGGCCGTTGCTGATCAGCAGGCCGTTTCCGAACCAGGGCTTGAAGTAGCGGTACTCCTCCGCCTTGGTCAAGTGCTGGTGGCCGCCCAGGATCAGCTCGATGTCCTTGGGGTTGGTGAGGAAGACCAGCAGGACGTTGCCCAGCCAGGCCTTCATCGTCTCGCCGTACTTGTTGAGGTAGCCCAGGCCGACGGCCAGGATCTCGGCATTGCTCAGCCCGGCTGCCATGTGAGCCTGTCCCAGAATGGGCAGCTCTGGCGGCGACGGTATGTTGGCCACCATGCGGTACTCGCGGCTGTTGCGGCGCCAGTACTCGTACAGGGCCATGGCCACCAGGGTGCCCACTAGGGTGGTCAGCATGGGGCTGAATCCCAGCAACGAGCCGCCGCCACCAGCTGCAGCCTGCTGCAGCGTCTCCTGCACTGTTTCCACTGCCATGATTGCTTCCACTCTCGCTGTCTCTCTCTCGGTCTCTCACTTATCCACTGGTGGTCCTCCTTAGATCCTTTTGCTTAGGTGGCACTGTTGCTATTCCAGCCGCCAGCGCTCAACTGTGCCTTAACCACCGCACAGTCCACAATTTTATACGGACCGGCCCTGGAGGTGGTGGGGTCTTGGGGCCAATCCAGGTGTCAAGTGTATGCCAGGCCACCCAGACCAGCCAGTCCCAGTCGCAGTCCCCGGTGGTGATTTGCAAACCAAATCCGAGTCACGTAGTCGTCCGACCGAGCGCACTTTGGAGCCGCTCCACTGCGTCATTCCATTTCCGATTGCGATCGGAACCACCAACCAAGTCCGCCTTTAAGTGACTGTGGACACAGTTTGTGTCATGGGGTTCCTGGTCTCTCTATCCTAGTCCAGTGCGATCCACCGTTCGCCTCTCGCCACCTTGGGGAACAATCAAGACTTGAAAGTGGTTCTACCAAAGTATTTTTCCAAGGTTTCCTAGTTTTCGATTTTATAGTACACTGCAAAGGATATTTCGAATTAAGGAGTTTTAAGGAGTATCTAATGACTACCTATTAATTGGCTGTTTTGTTATCAAAATACTAAAGGAAAGTGAGTGTGGGTTCTGGTAGCATACCTCTTCTCTCTCCCTCCCTCACGTTGTCCTGCTTCCTGCGGAAGTGCACAGGACACAAGTTGATCCCTGAAGGTTGATCGGAATGAGGGGACCAGGTATGCAAAGTGCTAATACCTGTGCGCGATCACTTGCAGAATGATTTACCTGCCGACAAGCGGAAGTCGGTGAGAGCAGATCCTCTCCATTTCCATTTCCATATCCATCTCCGTCCTCGTCTCCGCTTTCGCTTTTCATTAAACTCAATTTCGCCGCCTTTGTCCCCGGGACACCTGAGCAGCGACGGTGCACGGGGCCATGCAAAAAAGGGAAAAGCGAATAAAATAAGATAAATAAACAATAAAAATGAGTAGACCGCAGACAAAGGAGAGGAAGCTGTCGCTTTTATGATCTTCCTCTCCGCATCATTCATCATCGCTCTGGCCTCCGATTTATATTTCGAAATATCCTTTATACAAATTAATATTATTTGTAAATGGATTATTTGAGGAGCGCGTGTTCAAAGCGTGGTACTATCCACATGGGTCTGTAGATACACAAGCATTCATTTGTATTGCTTTCACTATATTTCTATACCAAAATTAAATCTACGACCATACTATGTTCATTATAAATAATCGAAAGCACTTACTCTCATTCTTTGGAACTCGTAGACTGTTGGTCCTGCTTTGCTTGTGCGTTGCAGGCAATTTTTCAGCTCCATCCCAAAAACAAAAAAGGATATAAACATAAGGAAACTGAAAAGCCTCAAGAGAGTGAAAGTTATTTAAAAAGTGGCGAAAAGAACGCTTATCCCCGACCGAAACCCCCTCTTGAAGGATCTGGTAGAGAATAGTTTGCAACGCATTAATTAAAATTGGTAAAAATAGTTTTTATTGAGTTTCTGATTGAAGGGACTTAAGCAATTCGAATTCAAATCATAGCAACAAAATTGAATCGATGTTCTTTTTCGCAGAATAAATTACATGAATGTATGGCATTTACTCAATATACTTTTCGCTTACAACGTAACTGATTTACATATGGATATATGCTAATTAATTTATGCGTATATATGTTTTAGACGCTAAGTAGATATATGGGTATGACTTTTATCGATTCGCGAAGCGTGAACGTTATGTAATGTTTAATAAAAGTAAGGATTTATGTTTCCGAATACGTATAATACGTTCCAACTTATGTGGTTTATCTTTCTTTTCGCAACTACGAACTAACAATGTCTTTTAGCTTTATCGAATGAATGAAAAGAACACAGGCACGCACTTGATGTACACTTGATGGGGAGAGGGAGCAAGGAACAAAACGCAATGTGTCGAGGATCTGGACAGGGGACAAGGGACAGTGGAACAATGACACACATAGTCACCAAGTATATATGGCATACAATAGGAAGGCGCACGCGTACAAAGTACATAAAACAAACAAAAAGGTATTTACATGTAAGCACTTTACACACGTCACAATGTCGAACGATAAGGGGAGAAAGATATGGGACTGGGGCTTAGCTTGGAGGTTGGGTTACTGGAATTCCATCCGGGTTCCTACGCCGTCTCATTGAGATGCGCACAGTGGGCGTCCTGCATGAGCTGCGTGAGCTTCTGCGTGAACGTTGGAATGTCCTGCAAGCCGAGAAAATGTACTCTTCAATAGCCCCGCCTTCGCCTTGCTTATACTCACACTTGTCTGGCAGATCTCCTCCAGCGCCGTCTGGGCCACTGGCAGCGAGGCCTGCGCCAAGCTTTCGAGCAGCTGCCGTCGATCCACTTGGCCCATCGCATACAGTGCCTGGGCAATCATATCGAAGTGCAGCCCGCCCTCACCGCTCAGCAGCAGATTGAGCAGGGCCCGTTGGAAGGAGGCCAGCAGCTGCTCCTTGAACAGCGCCCGCTGATACAGCCGGCTGCGCTCGTTCACATTCTGCATGGAGAGGAGAACGCTGCGCACGTTGCTCGGATCAGTGCCGCTGACCAGCATCTGGCCATAGGCATTCAGAATGGCCATAAAGTGAGCAGGATGCAGGTTGTCGCTGCAGTTGAAGTTGCCGCCGGCGGCGCCGGTGTGGCCGTTGGAGAGTTGGTTCTTGTAGAAGAACTGCCACTTGCATGTTAGTACACTTAAAGAACGTATAATAAATATGCATTTAAGTTTAAGGTATTTCTAGAGGTGCTTTTTAAGGCCTCTCACCTGTCGAAGAGGGCATACAAAAGGCTGGTTATCTCGCTGTTATCCGTCGCCGTATTCTGCTGCTGCAGCAGCGGCAGAATCTGCTGAGTGCCAAAGTCCAGAATGGAGGGCAGCAGGCCGAGGGAGGCACTGCCCGGCTGCTCCACAATCAGCTTGAACATCTGCAGCACCTTCTCCATGACGGCAAGTCGGCTGAGGGTAAGCTGCTCCCTGAAAAGGAAAGAGAGAACCAAGAGGAGTTACACATCGGAATTGAAAACGAGCGAGAGGGAAGTAGATGAATATCGAAAGAAAATACATTGTTCTGCCGATTACTTTATGCACATACATATATCGAAACGATAAAGCATCGTTAATTAAGGCTATACTTTACAGGGATAATGCAAGAGACGAACCTGCTGCTGACATTGATGAACAGCGTGATCATCTCCTTGATGAACTGACCGCCCAGATGCGTGGGCAACGTTCGGAGCATGCTGAGACTGAATTCGGCCACCGTAATGGCCATGGCTATGCTGCTGAGTCCGAAGCTATTGAAGATCATCAAAGCCTTGGTCAAAATGGGCTGCAAGGGTTATAGAGATATTGAAGAAACGCCTTTGAATTTCGTTGAAGTAGATACAAACCTTGAAGGTGCTGGCGAGCATGTCCTTGGCATTGCCTCCAGTTGCCTTGAAGTACTCGATTAGCGCCGTAAAGGTGCCCAGCAGACTCAGCGTGGTGGCCGCCACCTTGCTCTCATTAGCCTGACCCACATCCAGATCCAGGAAGTTCTGCGCCAGCCCCTGGATGTACTCACGCAGCATCCAGAGTCGGCGCTGATAGTCCTGCTGCTGCTCGGGCACACACTTCCACGGCAACACCATGTAGCTGACCAGCGCAATGTGCACATTGATGCACACCTGACGAGGCAGCTGGGCGCCAAGGCGGGAGCCCGCCTGCAACAGGCTCTGGATCTGCGGGATCTCCAGCAGGCACTTGGGCCGTATCACAGTCGAGATGAAGAGCAGCAGCTCGCTGGCCGCTTGCTGGACGATGGGCGAGACGGCGGCCAGAGAGCCGCTGCAGGCGAAGATGCTGCCCAGTATGGCGAACAGTCTATGCAACAGCTCCTCGCCCACCATGGCCTTCGAGAGCGGGAAGATGCTGCGCATGGCCAGCAGGACTTGAGCATACCTAAAGGCTTCAATTAGGACAGGAATATGAAGGAATTATCTTCTCTTGGCACTTACAGGTTGTCCAGGTCCATCTGGAACGTGGCCTTGTCCATCTCATTGCCGCCCTGCAGGCGATTGCTCGCCAACAGCTGCAGCGTCTGCAGCAGACTGTCGGACAGCATCTGCAGCTGGCACTCCATCTCATCGGCCACGGCCGGCGCTGCCGTGGCAGTGTCCATTAGCGGCGCCAGACGCACCACCGCCTGGCAGACGGTGGCAAAGTCTCGCAATATCTCACCCACATTGGCCGTTTTGAGCTTGCGGGCCGCCTCGTAGCTGCGACTACTGCCATGGTCCAAAGCGTGCTCCAGCGACATCAAATACATCTGCGGCCTCGACCAGTGGGCGAAGACTTGTGCGAAAACCACGTGGGCACCACGGGTACTAGCCAGCAGGGCCAGGGACTCGAAGCATTGGTCCAGGAACTGCTGCCACTCGGTGGCGGAGGTCTGAAGGAGAGAAGGAAACCACAAGTAAGCAACTCGCACATTCCACACAAAGCCAGCTCAATTCACATCATCCTCCATCAGCTCATTGTCCAGCACCTCCAGCTCGGGCTTGTTGGCCTCGAACTGCGTACGCCGCATGATCTCGTCCACCAGCTGGGTGAGCACCTGGTTGAAGCGCGCCACTTTGGCCGGCTGCTGGGCAATGCCCTTGATGATGGGCGTCCATATCTCAAGCTTCTCCGTGAAGTCCAAGGCGCCGTGCACTGAATGGGACAATAAAGAAACTGTTAGTTAAATTTCCACTCCATGCCAGGTGTCATCCATGCCACTTACATTCCGTGGTGCAGCCGTAGAGCAGGTTGAGAAAGGTCTCGAGCAGCTCCGGCTCCTGCATCAACTTGCCGGCATACTTGGTGGTATAGAGACGCAACAGCTCCCGGAACTTGTCGCTATACATTTCGCTCTGCCGTCGATTGTTATTGTGCTGCTCCAGGAGACTGCTGACGCCACCCATTAGCGTGCCCGCATAGGGCAGCGGCTTCTGCAGGTAGAGGAGTTCATTCAGAACCGACAGGGCGGCCAGGGAGATGGGCTCGTGGGCAGGACGCCATTGGGAGAGGTCGAGTATGCTCATGAGGAAGTACTCCGAGATCAGTTCAGTCCGAATCCAGGAGACCAAGTGCTGCACACAGCCGAGCAGCTCCAAAATGGAGGAACTGTGGGCGTCAGAAGAGGAATTAGCAACCCGCAAGGCTGAGAGTTTTACAATCAATCTTGGCTCTGCACCCACCTTAGGTGATTGTCATTTGGCAGCGCTGAGGTTAGACTAAAGTCCATGAGTGTGTTTGGTATGGTCGCTTGGATGTCTTTGCCATTGATGTGACACACGGCGATTAGTAGATACTTGGTGACCAGGTCCATCACATCGGGTATACACATGGAGATGCTACACGCGGCACAGGGGGACACAGAGGGGGTTAGGATTAGGATTATGGAGGCTCTTTTCACAAGCAAAATAAAATATTACACATATCGGTTTCGTAATTGGTATCAAAGAAAACAAAAACCAAGAACTCTCTCAAATTAATAAGAACTTTTTTTAAACAGATGGTAAAACTTAAATAACAGGTAAATGCATTTACAAATCATTTGAAAAACAAAAGGAAACTGATTAGAGACAAGAAATTGATCTGAAACATATTTCTGATAGGGATTTCTATAGGTTTTTATCACAATAAGCTTGGTAAGCAGTAAATGCAGCATCAACAGCTATCAAATATCTGCAGTTTTATTTAGATAGCTTTGAAACTGGGGAATTATATGGATTCGGCTTTTGATGCTGATTAAGAGTAATATATGTATACATAATGAGTCTGAAATATCTCCTTCACTGCGTTGCAAACTTATGACAAAAACCATAATACCCTAAATGGGTATGCTAAACAAATCCGATAAGGGACTTTTACACTCAAGAAAGGGGAACAGGAGGAGACAAGCTTAGGTCTCCACATAAAGAGAGCAATTTGGTTGGGGAGGTTAAAATCGCATCCAGGTTGCAAAACTACTCACCAGGAGTAGAAGTACTGCTTCCATTCGGTGGTCAAATCGCCGCGATTGCTTACCACCTCCTCGGAGGTGACGCGCAGCAGATTGATGCCCAGCTGGAAGCGTGTTTTGGTCAGCTCCATGCAGTGCTGCATGTAATTGGGATCCTGCTCAGGGAACTCTCGTTTCCCCATCAACGCTATCAGCTGCGCCAGCGTATCCCGGTGCCGCCTGGCCGCTCCCGGTGCCCCCAGCTGGGCATATGTGTTCCACAGTGCCTCGCGCAACAATGTCTTATCCGCCGCATTCAGCTGTGTCCATCGCCGGGTGATTGTGTGCTCCAGCGTCGAGGTGCTGAAGAACCAAAGGAACTGATTCTCTGTGCCCTCCGGCGCGGTGGCCACGCGCAGGCACAGCTGCCACGCCTCCGGCTGCGACTTAAAGGCCAGCAGATTCGTCTCGATCTCGCGCTTGCGGGCATTCGATGTGGAGGGCTGGTAGAACTCCTGCAGCAGTCCCTCCACCGTCGTCATGGATGCGGCGTGCTGTGTGCGGGCGGAGCGAGATAAGGAATTAGTGTGGGTGGAAGCCTCTGCTGGGACGCGGCTGATTCAGCAGCAAGAGTGGGCGGAACGCCACGGGAACCGAAGAAGAAGAAAAGGAGCGTAGCAGCACTCACCATTTTCCCCCCTGGCTGTTCGCTCGCTCGTCCGCTGGCTGGGATGGATGGATGTGTGTGTGGCGTGCCGTGCCGTGTGTGGGGCGTGTGTGTGCGCCGCAGCAGCTGCAGCTCTTCCTGGGCTGGCTGTCCTCCCGTTCTGGTTTCACTTTGCGTCAGCAGCTGGTCGCTGGCAATTTCATGTTTTTCTTTGTGTGTACACGAAGGTGGCCAAAAAAAAATTTAGTCTGAATCTCTGAAACTCTGCAGCGGACGGCCTGGCAACTCTGGCAGCGCAACGTCGCGGTGTTAGCCAGCACAGACTGCAGAAGGAAAGCCTATCGATCTATCGATAGTTCAAATTTAAAAAAACTTGCTCTAAAATTTTGAATGACTTCAGAACAGAATGTTAGCTTGTATAATATAAGATATGACTTTTCTCCAATTGTGAGCAATCATAATTGCATTGAATGTACTTATTTCTGCATTTTGGTGAATATAAGCCTGGTGACCTATTAGAAAACTGCAAGCGCTTGCCAGCACTTGGCCATGGCGCTGACCAATACTGTCACCGGCAACAGGTAATGGAGTCGCCTTTAAAGCCCAATTTGTAAGTCGCGGACATTTAATATTCCCTTAATCCATGGAGCACAAGGCCGCTAAACGTTCGCGTTCGATTGACGGCCACGACGATGACGCCAACAACAATCCCATACAGAGGAAGGTCTGGGTCAGCCAGAAGATGAGCGACGCCCGCGACCCCGCAAAGATGCGGGAGGTTCATGGTGAGTATGTGAGGGGCGTAGTTAAGGATTATGTTTATACTTTTAAGTATCATCCCCGTTTTTGTATTGTTATTCGAAGATAATTGAGTTGGGTTGGCTTTGCTTTAAAAGCTTAAATAACGTGCATATGACGACAGCAACTTGCTAGTTTATTTTCAAAATTATCGGTCAGCATCAAAATTTTTTGTGTACTAGGAAAATAAATCGTATGTAAGTCGTGATTTTGTTCTGCTGGCACTGGTACTTTTAAAACTAACACTTAAAGTGGCCCACCTCTCGATGTCAATGTCCTTTCGACCAAATAAGTTATCGGTCTTTTGCCACATCTAATGATAACTTTCTTTTCATCATAACTTTTGCAGAGAGAACAACCAAGATGCTCTTCGAGGGTGCTGCCGCTAACCAGGAACGTCCTGAGGAACATACTGCCTTGCACGAGCACTACTTCCTGCTCGGCGACGGGAGCATTCTGCTGCGCGACATGCGTCCGGACTCCGAGAATCCGGCCCTGGAGCGCCGCAAGTCGCGCTGCTGCCAGCGCCAAACACTCATTCACGGCACTTGCATCAACTGCGACATGGACCTCTGCGAGGAGTGCGGTTATTCGTGCTCCGAGTGCAGCGAGTTTATTTGCCGCAGCTGTGTCACCGTATTGTAAGTAGAGATTCGATCAAAGTCCTCCAAACGCTAATGCCTCTTTCCTACTCCAGTGATGACTGCCCGGAGAGTCCACTCTGCGAACGCTGCCAGATGTTCCATACCTGAGGGGGCTTCCCAGTCTACAGCCAAATAACTCGCTGTGTTCATTAGAATTTAAGGCTTTTGGTCTCATTTTCTTCCACATTTGTATTTTTAGAATAATGCAAATAAAAACATAAATAGCTAGAACACCAATCAAAAAACACCTAAACTTTTCCTCTGAACTTGTGGTACTTGTCGTGCTCCTTCACCAGTCCCTCGTACAGGCGTGCGCCCGCCTCGCTGCTGGAACGCAGTATAAAGTGGCCGACACGGTGGTCACAGATGCCAATCAGCTCGTGGCACACACGCACTATATGCACCTTGACCTGGAACGGGATTACGGGTTAATGAGTTTAAATACGCATTACTTCAACTTGACGCACCTTCTCAAACAACGTGGTGGGCCGCTCGGTGGCCACCATCTGGCGGATGGTGAAGATGAGCAGGAAGGGCGCTACACGCTTGACGGCCAAGGCCTGGGTCCCTGCCACCGTTGCCATAACCGTGGCCAGCTTCAGGCCCAAATCCGCCAGGCCGTCTAGCTCAGTTTCGCTCAGATCCTGGGCCTGCTTCCGCTCCGCCCGATAGCCAACGATGCCCTGCACCAGGTCCTGACACAACGCACTCAACTGGGCGGCCCTGTCGGCCATTAGGTTTCCGTGCTGCTTCAGCAGCACCAACAGATTCTCCGTAATGGCCCCGTACAAATCCACAAAGTCCTGCCACGTGCCGCGACCCATTAAGTGCTTGATGTCTACGTCCAGCATGGCGCCGAGCAAACAATCCAGCGTCTCACCGGTCAGCGGCACGGTGCGGTTGCCGGCCAGGTTGCGTTGGGCATCCAGCAGACGGAGGGCATGGTCGCGATACGTCGCATCATGCGGCTCGGGCAGGCGCAAGGCTACGCTCACGCTAATCAGTTCAAAGTGCTCGTTGAGCATCTGGGAAAGAGAGAAGATGCATCAAGTCCCTGACAGGAATATTGGTGTCTGTCTACTCACCGCTGCCTTGACGCTGCTCAGCGAACACTTGGCGAACAGCGCGAGAAGCGTCAGCACATTCCGGAGGGCCGTGTGCTGCACCGGCGTCTCTGGGCGTGGCATCTGCTCCACTTGACTGGAGAGGCGGCGCAGGATCAGCAGGAAGTCCTCGTTGGTCTTGTAGCCGATGATCAGCCGGATGGCGGGCTCCAGGCACTCCAGGGAACTGATGTCGCCGCCCGCCTCGATGTCCGCGTTCAGTTGGCGCCAGTAGCTGCTCAACACGAACTCGATCTCATCCGGATCCAGATGGAGTAGCTGCCGATGGGTGAGGGCCACGTTCAGCAGGCGGATGGCATGAGCGTTGCGATAGTTAAGCTAAAGGGCGGATAGTGTTAGGACTTTAAGGAAACCACAGCACGCTACCAAGCTTACCGAGTGACCAATGTAGATCTTGCAGATGCGTCGGAAGTTGTCATCGATGGGCTGCACTGTGGCTATGGCCTGTTGATCCTGCTCCTGCTCAGCCTTGGCCTTCTTATTTCGCTTGCCAGCTGGTGGCTCTTCTTCCGCAACCGTCTCCTTTTTGGCCCGCTGTTCGGTCGCCCGCTCCTGTCGTGCCAAGCTATTGATGCAGCTGCTCACATACGTCGCATAACCGGCCAGTGTGTTGTCCACAAACTTCTTGTAGGCAGCCGCCTCCTTACTCTTCTTCGAACGGAACTTGTGGTTCACCATCTCGCCGTAGATCTCAACCAGTGGCTGGAGCTGCCGCTGCATCTTCCTGCCCTGCACACCCGTCACGCTCGACAGCGTTTCGATTGCCAGCAGTAGGAGGCGGCACTGGTCCGCTTGGAGCTTTCCGTTGGCAGCCAATTCCGTCCTCAGAAACTCCGTGCAGCTGGCCAGGAATGGTTCATAGCCCGCGCTCTGTCGTCGGATGCAGCGGGCAAAGAGCGTTTCGTAGAAGCTCCAGGAAGCCGCCGAGTTGGTGGGGATCAGCTCGAGTAAATCGCTGAGCTGCCCGAAGTATGAGCAGAGGGGCAGCGGTTGACCAAAGTGCATTAAATCTGTTTTGATGAATGGTAGTAATGAGTTTCTTCGTTATTCTCGAATAAGTGACTTGCAGTAAGATCCTTACCTATCAGAAGCTCCAGGACCAGGTGGACCACCTCCTCCGGCTGGTCGGAGCAGCTGAGGTCGCGGTAGAGCGCGAAGATCACCAGCCAAAGGCGAGAACGTATGGAGCTGGGCAACTGAGCCAGGGGGAGGCGCTGCAGGGACTCCAGCAGCTGTCGGGCACAGGGCAACTGCAGCTGCCTCTGGGTCTTTTCCTTGATGAAGCCAATCAGGACGGCCTCTTCTAGTGGTTCCTTCTCGTCCAGGGACAGCTTGGCCAGCAGCGAGCCCTTGGCCTTCTTCACTGCCTTGGCATAAGTGCTGAGCAGCTGCAAGGCGAGCAGCTCCACGCACTGCGCATCTTCCAGGTTATCCTCCTCCCTGTCCTGATCTGACCGTAATCTCAGGCGCAGCTGCTTTTGGCTCCGGGTGAGCCGGAACAGCTGCTGGGGCCCCAATGCCTCGGCCAAGGCGTCCGAACAGCTTGCTTTGCGCTGGTTCTCTTGCAGAAGCCAGCCACTCTCCGCCAGCTGTAACTCTAAACGCTGCAGGCGCTGTCGGCACGAGCTCTTGCCGAAGTTGTGCACCCTCTGTTGGATCAGTGTCCACTCCGCGGGTGGGAGGAAGCTTCTCAGCTGGAGCTTTCGCTGTCTGGAGGCGTGGCCGTCGGGCCAATAGTAGGCCAGGAGCAGCTCCAGGCCACTGGCACGCTCGGTGCACTCGAGGAAGGCGTTCATCAGGCGGCGGTTGTGCTCCTGGCTGAGCAGGCGGCGACCAAACTGCTCCAGCACCTGGGCGGTGTGCTGCAGCTGCTGCTCTATCTCCGTCTGGTGGAGGTGCAGCTGTTCGGCCAGCCGAGTCCCACTTAAATACTGGCACAGCAGGGCCGCATGGAGTTCGCGGGCAAAGTCCAGGTTACCAGGCAGCGTCTGCTGCTGCTCTTGCTGCAGCAATTCCACAAACGAGTGGAGCAGGGTCCTCCAAATCACCAGCGAGGGCTTGGTCATCAGGTGACTGACCAGGCGCGTGAAGGCCACCCCGGCAGAGTGGCTGGGCCAGGTCTGGGCGAGCTGCTTAAAGGCATCATGCGACGAGGGAGTTGCCGCCGCCTCAGCAGAGGATGATCCCGCAAAGATCTCACGCAAATAGTGCTGTCCCTCGGCGTCCGTTGCCTTGACAGATTCAGATTCAGAGTCCTGAAGACGGCGCTTCTTAGCCTCACCATGGATGGCATTGGGCAACTGATAGACTGATAGCCACTCCTTTAGTGACTTCAGGAGATTCATGACAAATCTCTCGGCCCGACTTAGACGGCGAAACATGTCCAGCAGCAGGACGAGATACTCCGAGTAAAGCCGCTCCTCCTCGGCCGTTTCCTTGTGGGCTGTTAGCAGCCAAACGGTGATCTGGTAGACGCTCTGATCTAGCAGCAGGGGATTCAGCCGCAGGGCAGAGCACAGTAGGACAAGCAGCTCCTTTAAATGCGTTTTTCGGTGCTGGCGCGCCAATTGAAGCAGTTGCTCGGCGATAAAATCGAAGGCGCTTAAGGCTTTCACTTTCATCTCGGTGTCCTCCGCCTCCGCCTCCGCCTCCTCCAGCACTTTGCTTTTCTTACTCTCCTCCTTAGCCCTATTTTTCTTTCTCTCCCGGTTCATGTTGAACTGCAGGGATATGTCATATTTGCGCAGCGACATCAGCAGATGGGCGGCCAGGGGCAGTGAGGTCTCGTTCTTCGAGAAGACGGCACGCACAATATCCGCCAGCTGAAGGGGCTCGTAACGATTGTTGAAGACGGCGGCCTCCAGGAGGAGCAGGGTGACATGCAGCGGCTGGCTGACGCTGCGGTTTTGGTCAAATGTGTCCTTCATCTGCTTCTCCAGCTCGGCCAGCTCCTCTACCAGACTGGCGGACTTTAGAGTGAGCAGGAGCTCGGTCAACGGACGAACCGTTCTGGCATTGTAGCATTCGCGTAACTCGGGGAGCTTCTGGGAGCGTCGAGCAAACTCCGCCAGCTGCTTGATCACCGGCACAAGGAACTCGGCATGGGAGGATGTCGTCAGCTGTTTCTGCTGCTTCACGCACTGCTGGTGGCACCGGAACAGGCTGGCGTAGCACTCGCACAGCAGCTCGTAGTCCGCACGCAGGGCGTCCTGAAGCAGCTCACAGTCCAGCAGACTGGGCAGCAGCTCGAGGACAGCCACATTTGCTTGCTCGTCGCGGGAGACAATGGATAGAAGCGCTCTAATCAGCAGCGTCTTGCACTCCTGACCGACCAGTCCGGGTTGGGCACGCAGCGCAAAGAGATCCTTCAGTTGCTGCATGGGCAAGGGCTCCTTCTTCCTGCAGTTGGGCAGAGATTCACCCAGCCATCGGATAATGATATCGTACTTGTCGGGATAGGGAAACTCCACGGATTGCCAGACTCGTAGGGCAAAGTCAACACGTGCCGCGAAGGGCTTGCTCTTCTCCAGCAGCCAGGACCTCAGCTCTGCGGGTGCAAGTGCGGTTATTTACGGTCACTCTGGTCAAGGGCATTCTCTTCTTACCTTCGCCGGTATCCATTTTCGGCTCCTACAGGTGGGATTAACGATGCCAGACAAGAAATTTCAAATTCCGCACGTGTTATTGTTGCGGGTGTCAGTGATGTGAAACCATCGGTAGTGCTGTGTATGCTGGCTATTATCAAGCCAAATCTAGCTAATTAAATGACAGAAGCTTAAAAATAAGTGAAGGAGTCATTTCCGACCCCATAATCCATATATATTCTTGATCAGCATAAACATGCAAATCTTTCTAGCCATTAAAAAGAAAACAAAATTTTTTAAAATTATTTCCACAATTTTTTAGTCGTTTTTTCATTGTTAACATCTTGAAAAATCGACAAAATTTGGAATAGCTTAAAAATTTAATTTGAGTATGCAGATTTAATAACCTATTTAAAACTAGAACAGAACAGCTTTCCGAATCGAAATTAATGCATTTTGACATAGTTATGATTTTTTTAAGCTTTGATTTGTAAAATAAAAAATCATATTAAAATATCAAAATATTGCCTCAAAAATTGTATTCAGATTTCAGTCAGAAGCTTAAAAATAAGTGAAAGAGTCATTTCCGACCCCATAATCCATATATATTCTTGATCAGCATAAACATGCGAATCTTTCTAGCCATTAAAAAGAAAACAACATTTTTTAAAATTATTTCCACAATTTTTTAGTCGTTTTTTTCATTGTTAACATATTGAAAAATCGACAAAATTTGGAATAGCTTAAAAATTTAATTTGAGTATGCAGATTTAATAACCTATTTAAAACTAGAACAGAACAGCTTTCCGAATCGAAATTAATGCATTTTTGGCATAGTTATGATTTTTTTAAGCTTTGATTTGTAAAATAAAAAATCATATTAAAATATCAAAATATCGCCTCAAAAATTGTATTCAGATTTCAGTCAGAAGCTTAAAAATAAGTGAAAGAGTCATTTTCGACCCCATAATCCATATATATTCTTGATCAGCATAAACATGCGAATCTTTCTAGCCATTAAAAAGAAAACAAAATTTTTTAAAATTATTTCCACAATTTTTTAGTCGTTTTTTTCATTGTTAACATATTGAAAAATCGACAAAATTTGGAATAGCTTAAAACTTTAATTTGAGTATGCAGATTTAATAACTTATAGAAGACTAGAACAGAACAGCTTTCCGAATCTAAATTAATGCATTATTGGCATAGATATGAGTTTTTTAAGCTTTGATTTGTAGAATAAAATATCATATAAAAATATCGAAATATCAAAAAATGTAATTGTAAATTCAGTCAGAAGCTTAAAATGAAGTGAAGGAGTAATTTCCGACCCTTTAATCCATATATATTCTTTATCAGCATTAACAGGCGAATCTTTCTGGGTATAAAACAGAGAAACAAATTTTGAAGTTTCGAGAGGATACGTGAGAAATGATTATAAAAATATCAAGAGTAATACAAAAATAAACTATATTATAATAAAAATATGAATACTCTTAATATATATATATATATATACATATATATAAATGAGTTTTACCCGAAACTATGATAAATAAACCTCTAGTTTTTCATACAGCTCTATTTTTCTATATATGTATGTACATACGTAGCTTAAATCCCATCAAAAACAGTCTTACTTCAGATAAAATTTCAATTATTTTATTATATATCATTTGATAAACTAAGTAAATGTATATCTTATTTATATATAAATCTGCCACGATCCACGCAACGTCCCACTTTCTATCGTAAAAGAGAACCATTCTTGGGGGGATTTGCCTCACGGTCTTACCTAACAGGGTCTAGTCCAGAGAATAACGATTAGTCCAGGTTTAGTGTCCACATTGTATACATATATATTTAATTATTCATTGTGTATATTTAATAAAGGGGGATGGTTCGTTAACCGATCTGCATCTGAGTCCGAATCCAACGGGGGAGCGAGCACGTTGGAGCCTCCATTAATTTTGCCCCACGAAAGGACCTAATTTTAATTTCCTCGTGCTTTCTTCCATTTCTCTTCTTGTTATGTTATTTGTTATCACAGTCGCCCTAGAGCGCATTCCTCTCCACCCGAGGGCTTGGTTTCCATGGTGTTTTGCTCGGTTTCTTCTTGTTGGTGGTGGACATGAAATTATCTGCGAACTGGGAGATACAGATGGGCGGGTGCTCTCTCTCTCTTTCTCCTCCGGGGAGCTCTGTTCCAAGTCCAGCTCCAGATGCTGCCAACACTCCAGATCTCCTTCAGATTCTTCTTGTGGCTTGTGTGTGTTTTTCGGTTGTAAATAACTGCTGCTTAAGGCTTGGCGGTTTGGGCCTGGCCAGTGGCTATTCCATCGCCAGCTGGACTGGCTTCGGCACCCTCTGGTTCCATGGCCATGGTCTTGTTGAGGATTCGGTGAAAGTGTTCGCCGAAAACGGCATGATTGTAGGAAACCAAACGCCGGAACGAAGCGATAAATGCAACTAGCTCCTCCTGGTAATCCACAAATCCGGCAGGTGGGGGCGGTATGCTGCCATTCGAGCGCAAGGCAACGCGCACATAGCCATCCAAGCGCTTGGCTAAAATATGGGATATCCATTATAGGGGAAGGCATAGATAGGCAAGATGCAAGCACTCACCCATTAAACTAGGCACCGGCGAGGCCTTGTTGCCCAGCTTTAGCACCTGATTCTTGAGCGCCGCCTGGTCGGCATCGTTCATGGCCGGCAGTTGCTCCTTCTGTAAGGCCTGGTTGACAAAGGCGCGTATCTGCTCGTAGCAGGCGTCAATGGCAGTGGCTACTTGCCTGCAAATACCACCACAGTTAATCTTTGAAATAAAAAGACTTCAAGTAGATGCTCACTCTTGGTTCTTGACATCCTGCACGATAATGTCCAGCTGCTTAGAAAGCTCGAGACGATTCTCGCGACGCTGCGAAATAATGGGCGTGCTCTGGGCAATGGAGATGAGCGAGGCGCACAAGATCAGGCGCTGGGCGCGCCAACTGAGGCCGGCAAAGCGATCCTTGTCAATGCGCAGCAGTTCGGGGAACTCCTTGTCCGCCGGATAATCGATGAGCTGTATGTAGGCATTGTATATAGTCTCGTCCGCATTGCTGCCGGCACGATTGCGCTGCAGCCAGTCCTCGGTGGCCGGGAAGCTATAGCCTGAAATAGGGAATATAAGATTTAAAATGCAATTCCATAAGAAGATCGGCTTAAGGCCCAATCTTACCATTCCCCATGTACTCGCGCATATACTTGCTGAACTTCTGTTTTTCATATTCCACCGAATTGGCTGCTATCTCCTTGCGCGCCAGCGTCAGCATAAAGTTGGCCATGTCCAGCTTCATCAGGCTCATCAGCTCGAGGATGCTGCGAAAGGTGTCCACCACATCTTCGATTTCCCGTATCTTGGCCACGGCCTCATCCCTCGCCGGGCAGCAGGAGCGCGAAAGGATGTTGATCACAAAGTTGGCATACGCGCGAAAGTCCAGCACTCCTCGCTCTGCCTGCTGCTGAATGACGGTTTCGTCCAGCACCTCGTTGATGTGGGCCACGGTCCGCTCATTGTTTGGGGACAGCAGCTGGGGGAAGATCTCCTTGATCTCGGCCAGCAGGCGAATGGCCTGGTCGTAGGAGGGCGGCTGCCGCTCGAGCTGCTCGCGAAGCAATTCCCAGAAAGCCTTGTGCACACTCCGCTTGATAGCACCCTCCAGGCTGTTCGACGGCGGCTCATACTGCTGCAGCTTAAAGTCCGGGTTGAGGGCTATCTCGTGGGCCAGCTCCATGTTGCGCAGGTCCTTGAACATGCTGGACACCTCGTCCAGGGTCACTATTTTCGGCGGCGAACCGTCCAGGCTGGGCAGCATAAAGCGCGTCAAACTATCCACGGAGCTCTCGCTGTCCGTGCGGATGCGATGCTCGTCCTTCGCCTGCGGCTGTCCCCTGTTCTCCTGGGCATCCATGCTAGCGGCTTGTTCTCTTTGTTGCCAGGTAAAGGCGGAAATGCGACGTAGATCTAAGATCTTAGCAACTGGTTTTGAGCCAAAGCCAAATTTGGTTACCACCGGTTCGAGGTGGTTTTATTTATTTATTATTAATTTTTTTTTTGTGCCAGCAATTGCAATTGCGCTGCGCTTTCTTTGTTCCTTTGTTCGAGGTCTTCGTCGAAGCTCCACTGGGGGTTACTGGTTCGCCTGGTAAGAGTACGAAATGAGGGACTTAAATACAGTGGCTATTGGGTATATAACACAAAATTTAATTTATCAGATAATATAATAAGTTGAGGACAAATTTAATAAAAACTGCATGTAAAATTGAGAATGAATTTAATGTAAAACTATTTTGTCTATTTTTCAAAATAGTATTTAGCAATGCCACAAACATCTCTGTATACAAATGTACACATTTTTTCCTAGAAATGGCTCAATACAAATTGTGCAATAAAAAATGAAATAATAAATATAAATAAATAATTTTGAAATTTTGTGTTATCTATTTTTGTTTTGGCGGCCACAAAAATCAGTTCGAAACGAAACAAAGTTCCAATAAGAACTAGTGTCTTCAGGGTAAAGTATATTACAATAAAATATATTAGAAGCAAATATTTATAAGCCAAAATCAGATTTACTTTTTCCATGGTAAGATCGCAATATTTCGAAACCGTTAAAAGCAATGTTGTTAACCAATTCCCACTGTAAGCAGCCAAGCTGGGAAAGCCGTTAAACGTGACTAACACACACACACAGAGAGCCCAAGCTGGTGTGAGCATGTGTGAGTGTTTAACAAAGAAACGAACAGCAGCAGCAAAGCAAAACAAAAACAGATAGATTCAAGAGTGTAACCGAAAAATCTCGAATCAATTCGAATATTCTAGAAGCAGCTAGAAAATGCAATTCGACATAGTTTCCAAAATTAAATGCAGAGAATTAGAGCACAAATTGCACAACGCCAGCGAGCGAAAGGGGAGACGTAAACAAACGGCGCAATAAAGCAGCCAGCGAAAACAGAGAAGCGATTAAAAGTCTCGTGTGTATTTGTTTTTTCCCCCTCTTCGCTGCTGCCTATTGCGCAGCATTCTCAGCTGGGGGAAAATTAGGAAATGGACACAAGGCCGTCGCTTAATGGGGCGAAAGGGGGTGGTTGGTTTATCAACTCCCCAAACTTACCAGTCGAGAAAACAATAGAAGCTTCCAGACTACTGCAATTACGTGCATCAATCGGGGGGCTGCACTAATTTTTTTCACCTTTTCAATCACTTACAAATTTAGGAATTATTTGCTCTCCTCCCTAATTTCTTTGCACTTTTTGCATGCCGAGTTGCCGAGTGTTACAACCTATCACAAACGGTGACCAATTTCCAAATAAAAACTTTTCAAACCGACGTTTGCGTCGCCAGCTTTGTTTGTTGTGTCTGCCTTATGTTTTCGTTTCCCTCTTCCTCTTACTTTTGCCATTCCCCTGCCCCCACACCAAATTTCGCAGCTGTGCTGGCCTATCGCTTATCGATAGGCAGACATTATCTATAGGCGGACTTCGTCTGTGCCTTTTGCTGTTACATGAGAGCTGTGGAGTAACCAAACACATTTACTTATCTCACATATATATTTTTTTTCACATGTTGGGAAAAGAAAAGTAGGATTTGCCTAAATTAGTTACTACGGCGCCACCTACTGTTGAATGTTCAGTTGATATCGTACATTAATCGGTAGCGTAGCCATATCGCCATGGGTGCACACTGTGCTCAGGGTGGCAACCTCTAGGCGAGGAGCAGACACAAAATTTTCATTTTCAATCAAAAATTCTAGTGTTTCCGTTTGGGAATTTGTTGTTTTGCCCAAAAAGACAATATTGCCATATTTTCTACACGCAGCGGATCTCCCGGACTGGAGGAGTCCATGCTGTAGACGTGCCTCCAGTGTCTTTAATTGGCACTTTTTGCAACCCCCCAAAAAGTGAGGAGGAGACGGGCACAGGGCAGGATCAGGAATCAAATGGAGAGCGAAAAGATTCTAATGGCCGCCGGAGTGACGGTGGCCGCCGTTGTGGGAGCGTTTGTCTTCTGGGGGCCCTCGGGTGAGTGTCAAATGCCTTTTTGCATTTGCTTCCTTAACTTCATGGACTCCTCTGGCAGGTTCCCGCTTGCGCCAGCGACGCGGTCAAATCGCCGGACTGCACAACTTTGGGCGCACTTGCTTCCTAAACACCCTGCTCCAGGCTTTGGCGGCCTGTCCGCAGTTCATCGCCTGGCTGCAGCTGTACAACGGTGCCTCCCCCGACCGCCGGAGCCTGATTAGCTCGATGCTGAACACATTGGAGGTGGTGAACGGCACACATGCCACGCTGCGCGGTGATCCCCACTCACCGGGGGCTGTGCTGCGCGCCCTGAACGCGTTGGGCTGGGTGATACCGCAGGAGGAGCACGATGCCCACGAGTTGTTCCATGTTTTGCTCTCCTCCCTAGAGGAGGAGGCCATACGGCCGCAGCCCCTAGGCTGTTTGTCGGACGCCCTGCCGCTAGGCCCGGGCACGGACAACGATGACGCGAGTAGCAGCATTGGCCTGGGAACTGCCACGCCCGTCGGTGGATTCCGACCCATAAGCGCCATGGCTGCCGGACCAAGCGCCAGCCAGCGGGGCATTGGAGAACAGCCCAATCGGCCCTCGAGCGCCATGCTGACCGACTTCCTCAACATGGAGTATGACGAAAGCACCAGTCTCACGCGGCTGGTGCGCTCCGAGGCCCACACACCGGATTCGCCGGCCTCCGTTTGCGAGCGCGAGGGCTCGGATCGTTTGGGTTCCCTGCTGCTGGATGCAGTGTCCCCCGGAACGCCGTTTGGCTTTCCGCTGGCCAGCGAAGTGGATGCTTTGACCACGCCAACGCCTACTCTGGGCGGCGAGCGGCTGTCGCGACCAAGGCAACCGCAATCCCAGGAAATGGGCGAGGGCCTTAATCGTCGGGTGTCCAGCTCGTGCCGGTCGCTGGAGCGCTTGCATCGTGGCCCAGGCCGTGTATCCATCTGGTCGAATATGATGCCCAGCCAGGTGGCGCATCCCTTCCAGGGCGCCATGGGCGCCCAGATCGTTTGCAACGGATGTGGCTCCAAGTCGGCGGTGCGCTATGATAAGTTCGACAGCATCACATTGAATTTGCCGCCGCAACGGCGGAGTGGACAGAGCTTGGGCCACTTGCTCAGCGATTACATCACGTCCGAGGATCTCAGCGACGTCAAGTGCGATTCCTGCAATGAGACGACTACGCACACCAAGTCAGTGACGTTTGCCAAGCTGCCGGCATGCCTGTGCATTCATGTGGCGCGCACAGTCTGGCTGCCCACCGGGCAGGTTTGCAAGCGTCAGGACTTTGTTCACTTCCCCGAGAGCCTGTCCATGGCACCGTATAGCTTCGTGCAACCGCATCTCAATAGTCAGGTGGGAATATATAAAGAATTTCATCCAGAGAACAGGAGATAGCAATTATCTGTCTCTTTCTATTTTGTGCGATTGAACTTAAAACATTTAACATATATTTGTATTACCTGTCCAGGCTGGCACTCCTTGGGGCTCGACCATGTCGCTGTTTTCCACCAGCCTGCCGATGAACAATGGCCTGGGTGGTGGCGAGGGCTTCGGCACCATGTTCCCCAAGAACCTGTACCGCCTGCTGGCCGTGGTGGTGCACTCGGGCGAGGCGAACAGCGGTCACTTTGTGACCTATCGTCGCGGCTCCCTGCGGAATGCCCATCGGTGAGTCTCCCCTTGTTATTTGTTCTACCGAACCCCATAGTGACATTGAGTCTCTCCCTTTTTCAGCTGGTTCTACACATCGGACACCATTGTGCGGGAGGTGAGCATCGATGAGGTGCTCAGCGTGCCGGCATATCTGCTCTTTTACGACCGGGGACAGCACCGACAGTTGCCCCTGCGCTAGTCAGCCGGCGGAGGAAGAGATGCGAACCCGGACGGGGTTCACTAGTCAGCCGGAGAACAATTGATGTGATGGAATATCCAAATCTTAATCCATACTCGACACACGTCGGACAGTGGCCATAGGAGACCGCGCATCGTAGACGACTTACCCACATATATGTATATTGATATATGAACATAGCTATATGTACGGAGCCCGCGATCTGACGTATACTCAGCCGAGGACAATGCAATGGTCTCTGCATCCTGCATGCATCATCTCCTCTTCATTTGTTATCGATGCATTTACGATTTTCTAAGAATTAAGAATTCCAAATTCATAATGTGCTTTTAGCTGTCTGTATTTAGCAATTTATACATATAAATCGACCTATAATTGTTTGCGCGTTATTTCCGTAGGATAGCTGTTCAATAAAAATTTCCGACAAATATTTGAAACGTCTTTGGTTTAACAAATAGATCATTTGGTTTGGAGCACATATATTGCCAGACAGGACGAAATCCCTATAATTTAAACTAATAAACATGGATAATAAAATCCTACGTAAAATAAATTAAAAAACACATATTTAAGAGAACCTTTCCATATATATTTTTACCAGTAGAGGGATTTAATAAAGGAAATGTTAATAAATCTTATACAAAGGAGACAAAAGCGTTATAATGCAATATATAAATTATAAAAATAATAAATAATTGAAAGAAAATGTTTTATTCAATGATTTGAAAATGCAAGTGAGAGCGTAGATAAATTCAATAGATTTACCAGGACTATCAATATGAATTTCCTATAAAAGTATTTAAAAAATACAAGAAACTTAACTTTTGCCACAAAAAAAAAAATTTTCTTTAACTTTTAACAGCCATAATTGTAAAAAATATTATTTAAATATATTTAAAAGTTCGTTATCGTAAAGTGCGCGGAAGAGATTCTTATCGATATTTTAGTTTATGAAAAGTATCGCAGAAACTATTTAAATGTATGCGATATTTTATCCAAAGAGTAACAGACCAAAAACAAAAAAAAAAATAGATAACAAAGCTGGAAAATAATTAATTCACACATACGCACACAAGACCGCAACTTGGCTTACGTTAAATGATAACGTTTTTGGACAGATATCTTAAGAACATTTTTAAAAAGTTCATGAAAATTCTAGAAATAACATCGATAACTCTGCATATCGACAGAGTGCCATCACATCCGTCAAGCGTTTTGCATTTTCTTTCGTCGAAAAAAAGGCGCAATTTCCAATTGATTTTCGAGTAAATAAGAAAGCAGCATGTCCGACGCCGAGCTCGAACAGACGCGCGTTGGCCACGTGGAGGAGCAGCAGCAGCACCAGCAGCAGCGGCAGCTGGACGAGGAGAAGGAACAAGAGCCGGAGCAGCCGTCGGAGGAGGGCTCTAGGTATGTTTACTCAATGGACGCGGGACCGCCGCGGACGCCGGTTCAGGATGCGGCGGCTGAGTTGACCGCCAGCCTAGATGTCAGCGGCTCCGATCAGTCGGCGGATCAGTCCCTGGACCTCAGCAACAACACACAAACGACGGAGACGTCCGCCGAGGGCGAGCCGCCCAGCAAGCGGGAACGACGCGACACCAGTCCCAGCAATACCTCCAGTTCATCCAGCGGCGGCGGCGGCAGTAGTTCACGCTATGATGACATCAGTGAGGTGGAGGAGGGCGAGCAGGAGACGCCACAGCAGCAGAGGCCACCGGAGCCGCTGGAGGAACCGCTGCAAGAGCAAATAATAGAGCAGGAGCCGCCGGAACAGGAACAGACATTGGAGCAGAAAGGATTAATGGAGCAGGAACAAATAATGGAGCCGGGGCACGAACAAGAACTGCAGCCCGAGCCAGAGCCCGAGCCGGAGCCAGAGCAGGAGGCGGAGCTGACGGAAACTCAAGAGGAGGAACAAGTGCCGGAGCCGCAGCAAGGCGAGGAAGTAATGCAGGAACCAAATCACGCAGAGGAACAGGAGCCAGAGGCTGAAGTCGAGGTGGGACACGACATGGAAACCGACGACGAGCCCTCCTCGAGTACGGTGATTCATGTGGCGGCCACCGGCTACACTGTCGATCCCGATGCCCCCACCAAAGCCATTGTCACCGAGGTGGTCACCATACCGGCGCCGCTGGGCTTCAAGGCGCTGGGCAAACTGCCAACGGAGGTCCCCGAGACTCCCGACTCGCCGACGGACGATGGTGGCGAAGAGCCGCCGCCGTACCTGCAGGCACAGGTGCAACAGGCCCTCATGCCGCTCCGCCTGGCATTGCGAGATCCCCGCCAGCGCAACATGCCGCCGCCCATTCAGCCACCACCGCCACCTCCGTCCGCGTCGTCATCGGCGTCGCTGCCCAACCGGACGGCGCTCGGGGCCAATGTCGAGACCATTTCGAGCGACAGCAGCGAGGAGACTTGCAGTGACGAGGACGAGGAGGAGGAAGTGGAGGACGAGGAGGACGAGGATGAGGACGGCATGACCGTGGAGCACGACAGTACCACCTCGGAGACCATGACCACAGTGATAAGCGGCGATCCCATGATGCAGAAGATAGATGTAAGTGAGGACCCCGAGAAGATCTACTACATAAGGCGGGATGACGGCACCGTCCACCGTGGCCAGGTGCTGCAGTCGCGGACGACGGAGAACGCGGCCACGCCGTACGAGTACTATGTGCACTATGTCGGCCTAAATCGGCGCCTGGATGGCTGGGTGGGCAGGCATCGCATATCGGACAATGCCGACGATTTGGGTGGCATTACGGTGATGCCACAGCCACCGCTGGCCTCGGACCAGCCCAGCACCAGCCGGGAGATGCTGCAGCAACAGCAGCAGGCAGTGGCAGCGGCGGCAAGCAGTGCCGGCTCCGCCCAGCGGCCGAACCGGTCGGGACTCAACCGGGACTACTATCTGTCGCCGTGCGAGAATAATCGGTATGATTACAGCGACCGGAAGATGACGCGCTACCAGAAGCGGCGCTACGACGAGATCAACCACGTCCAGAAGAGCCATGCCGAGCTGACGGCCACCCAGGCGGCGGCGGAGAAGGAGCACGAATCTATCACCAAGATCAAGTACATTGACAAGCTGCAGTTCGGCAACTACGAGATCGACACCTGGTACTTCAGTCCCTTCCCCGAGGAGTTTGGCAAGTCGCGGACGCTGTACGTGTGCGAGTATTGCCTGAAGTACATGCGGTACCGCCAGAGCTATGCCTACCACCTCTACCAGTGCGACCGCCGGCGTCCGCCGGGGAGGGAGATCTACCGCAAGGGCCAGATATCCATATTCGAGGTGAACGGGAAGGAGGAGCCGCTCTACTGCCAGCTGCTCTGCCTGATGGCCAAGCTCTTTCTGGACCACAAGGTTCTGTATTTCGACATGGACCCGTTCTACTTTTACATCCTCTGCGAAACGGACCGTGAGGGCAGCCACATTGTCGGCTACTTTTCCAAGGAGAAGAAGTCTATGGACAACTATAATGTGGCCTGCATCCTGGTCCTGCCACCGCATCAGCGCAAGGGATTCGGTAAGCTGCTAATAGCTTTCAGCTACGAGCTGTCCCGCAAGGAGGGCGTCATCGGTAGCCCGGAGAAGCCACTGTCGGATCTGGGACGCCTGAGCTACCGCAGCTACTGGGCGTACACGCTGCTGGAGCTGATGAAGAACCGCTGCTCGCCGGAGCAGACGACAATCAAGGAGCTGAGCGAGATGAGCGGCATCACGCAGGAGGACATAATCTATACGCTGCAATCGATGAAGATGATCAAGTACTGGAAGGGCCAGAATGTGATCTGTGTGACGGCCAAGACCATCCACGATCACCTCCAGCAGCCGCAGTTCAAGCAGCCGAAGCTGACCATCGATCTGGATCGGCTGGACTGGAAGCCGCACAGCGCCTATGTGTCGCGGATAATGCCGGGCGTTACCTTCTAGTATCCGGCGCGGGATCCGATCCCGCAGCAGTGTTCCGAAGTTATATTGATCGAGTAATCCATTTTTTTTTTCTAGCTTGTAAGCACCTTAAATTACCTTAACTAGATGTGCAAAAAATGCGTATGTAGATCAAATATCTATATATCCATCCACTGCAGGATCCCATCAGAGATTTTCAGAGAGCAATAGTTGAATATTCTCAAGAGCTAAAAACACGTTTATAATTTAAATTGAATACCTTATTTTTTGTAGCCCCTGAACGCTAAAATGTTAATTTCAGCCTAGTCACTATTGTTCTTTACAAAAATCAGCAAAAACTAAAAAAAATATATGTACACATATGTATCTTAAAGATTTCCACTGTGTTGTCTGGAGGTCTGTGGGAAGTTTGCTTTTGTAAATATTCCGCATTTCTGTATATTACAAATTCTTCGTTACATTAACGTCGTACATCTCTTTATAAACAAGTGTATATCCCTGGAAATTGGGATATATATATATATTTATATACTCTTTTTTTTGTGTGTTTAATAAATGTTAATAAAATTAAGTAAAAACAGTACAACTTTCTGAAGTTTTGAATTTTTTAAGTGTATACACTTTGAAGCCAAGAAGAAATAATACTACAAATTAAATTTACAAAGCTATTCGGTTAAAAACATCAAATACTGTATTGTTAATAAATTATATACCTTGTGGATAACAAATTTTAATTGTTTAATGTTTTTTAAATAATTTATCATACATTTCGGTTATTTGATATACGCGAAAATTGTGCATACAAAGTAAAATTTACAAAGCTATTCGGTTGAAAACATCAAATACTGTATTGTTAATAAATTATATACCTTGTGGATAACAAATTTTAATTATTTAATGTTTTTTAAATAATTTATCATACATTTCGGTTATTTGATATACGCGAAAATTGTGCATTTCAATAATATATCGGCGAAATATTTATAAGAAAGTGAACGACGTCGGTTGCTATATTTTCAAGCGGATATAATATCTCTTGTATTCCTTTTGATATATACGTAATTTAAACTTTTGTTACTATAACTTAACATTGATTTTTACAAAAGAATTTATTTATTTATTAGGAGCGTTAGAACTATCGCAAGAAGGCTCCTTGGCCATCTCTAGCAGCAGGCGCTGTTATCGATAGCACCCGCATCGATAGACCTGAATTTCAGCCGGCTGGGTTTCCGTCCTATTTACTGTTGCTTTTGTATCGCCGCTGTCATTCCAGGATATTCAGGATATAGGATATAGCGTTGTAGACACGGGCTAGAAAATGGGCCTGCTGTCCGATCCATCGATATCAACGCAGAGCAAGCTGGTGGACGCCCTGGCGCGTCATGTCCGCAAGGTGTGCTCCGTCTTGTATGTGGCGGGTGTGGCCTGGTTCTTCTGCCTGGCCCTGCCGGAGTTCAACCACGGCACGTACCTCTCGGAGAATGCCCTGTCGCCGGGATTGGTGTACCCGGAGATACGGGTGGATGCCAATCGCCTGGCCATCCAGCTGCTGGAGGAGCTGCAGCGCGAGCGCAAGGATCACCTGTCGACGACGCCGCATGCCTGGATTGCGGCCAAGATGAACGAGTTCGGGCTGGAGACGCACACGCACAACTACACGCTGCGCTATCCCTTTGGCGGCGGCAAGGAGTATCATGGCAAGAATATCTACGGCATTCTGCGTGCTCCTCGCATTGCCTCCACGGAGGGCATCGTGTTCACGGCTCCCTACCGCGCCGCCAGCTCCGTGCACACGGACATCTCGCCCAGCGTGCCGCTACTGCTGGCCTTTGCCGATTTCGCCCGACGGAAGAACTACTGGGCGAAGGATCTGATCTTTCTGGTCACCGAGCAGGAGCAGCTGGGCATGCAGGCCTGGCTGGAGGCCTATCATGATGGCGACCGTGACCTGGACGTAAGCAAGGCCTATCTGCGGCCTGGGAATTTGCCGGCGCGAGCGGGTTCCCTCCAGGCTGCGCTGAATATCGAAGTTCAGGATCTGGAAATTGGTGAGTTGTTCTGGGAAGCTATTTCAGTCAGAAAGTTATAATTCCTTCAACAGACTACGTGGACGTGCGGATTGAGGGACTAAATGGCAAGCTGCCGAATCTGGACATGTTTAACCTGGTGCAGCGCATCATGGCCCGGGAGGGCATTGCCTCCGGCTACAAGCAGTCGCCGCGCAAGAAGCGCCGGCACAGCAAGTCCCTCTTCGAGACCAATCTCCGCCAGATGCTCGCCATGCTGGCCACCCAGTCGTCAGGCGTGCCCAATGGCAATCATGGTCTGTTCCATCGCTACCGCATAGATGCCTTGACCATTGCCGCCCATCGGAGGGCTACGCATGCCACGCTAAAGGGCCAGCCTGGCTCGGCGGCAGTTCCGCTGCTGAAGGCCATCGAGGGCATAGCCAGGAGCCTGAACAATCTACTTGAACGCTTCCACCAGAGCTTCTTTTTCTATGTGATTGTCAACAACGATCGGTACATCTCCATCGGGGATTATATGCCGGCCTTGGTGGCCCTGGTGGCCTGTGCGTTTGTGAAGGCCTACCTAATGTGGTCCACGCTGCCGGCTGTTGAAGGTGGTGAGCAGGAAACTGAGGAGAAGGATGCGGAAACGGATGTGGAGCCAGAGAAATTCGAACTGCCATATGGCTCCGTGCTCATCTACCTCACCGCTACGCTGCTCATAGGCTTCCTGTGCAACGTGCTGCCCCTGCAACAGTATTTCCTGGAGATACCCATGGGCGCCGCCCCGCTGACCACCTCCGTGCTGAGTTTCCTCTCCCTCATTGGGTTTATCCTGCCCTTCGTGGTGGTCTTGCCGCCCGGTGGCTTGGAGCTGCTGCACGTGGCCTTCCTGCTCATCTACGGCTGCTCCCTGATCGTCATTGGGCTGCTTAACTTTGCCTTGGGATTCTTTGTCGCCGTGCTTACGGTGCCACTGGTGATTGCCTTGGAGACCAAGGAGGACACCAGCAACAGCACGCTGAGGAACTCGATCCGCCTGCTCACGCTGACCCTCAACCCCATGATGATCGTGTACGTTATTGTGCTGGCCATGACCTTCTATCAGTTCCCCGAGCTGCCGCTTCAGAAGATCATGCTGCGGGCTGCAACGGCGGCCATGGATGCCTCGGCTTATGGTCTCATTGATTCGGTGGTGAGTTGGTTTCCACATTTCAAATTAGAACTTTAACTCGAACTTGAACTTTATATTTCTCTCTCTTTGCCCCCAGTTGTATGGAAACTTCTTGTACTTTGTTATATCCACCGTCCTGCTGCCGCTGTGGATCATCTGCTGGACCCTGGCTCTGTCCAAGCGAAGAGACTACGCCGACTATGTGGAGTTTGAGGAGTCGCCAGCGCCATCGCCATCTCCCCAGCCGCAGTCGCAGTCGCAAACGAAGGTAAAAACCAGTTGAGTCCTTTAGTCCTTTGAATGTCTACATATATCATCGGGAAAGTGATCCTAAGATTAAGTGTGATAAACCCCAAGAGAAATGCGGGTGTAATTCCATAAAGAAAACGTTATATTCGATTAAATGTCTGAATAAAAGAATTGTATTTATTAGTTGCAACTACTTCTGTGTGTGTTTTTCCACAGTTTAAATTCAAGCAAGGCGGCTCGTATTCCAGGAGCGCAGTGGACTACGTGTATCTTCGCCTCCTTTGAATAAGTGGAAAACTTTTCGACTATGACACGCAACTTAATTTAAACTTTTCACGACGCTGGCAATTAGTTATGAGCCTGGATTTGGCTCAATCATGGACGGATGCATGATGACGCTGGGTGGGTGGTCTGCCAGGGAGCAGGGAGCTGTGCACTTGCCGAGCCATGTTTACCGGCGCCATTCAATCTGCAACTTAACAAGAAAACTTTCCTCCACACACACACACACACACACACACAGCTCCAAAGGAGACACAAAGTTGCATCGATACAGTGGTGTCTTTTCGAGAAAAATAAGTTTGAATTAAGCTTCTAATCTGAAATCTTGCCATCCAGTTAGCCTTGAGCTCGTTGTGTCAATCTAAAAGTCTAGCTCCCAAACCCTGTTCCTAGGAATTTTCAGTATAATCCCATTCGTCAAACTAGCAAGACCTTTAGTAATTATTTTTAAATTATTTGTATCCCAAAAAACTTTTCAAAATTTTTTAAATTTCAACAAATTTCCAAAAAGTTCAAAGGTTTGTACTTTCAATAGGATAACAAATCGTTTCAGAATTTTAAATACTAACAGTAATTTCCAAATTTGTTTTAGAAATTATGCAGAAGTGCACGTGTTCAGAGCCAAGTAACTCCAAGAAAAAATGTCTAGCCTGCGGAGACCAGCAAAGCATTGTTAAGAACGTGCCAAAGGATGTCGTGCCCCAGCGTTGCAGAAAGACTTTTCGATTTTATCCCGAAAATTACGTAGTCTTTGAGCATTTTTCAACATACGTACGGATTTACCCATATAAGAATCTTAATAAAATGCAGGAGTAGGAGCAGCTCCTTTATCCTTCACTCCACCTCAAGGCGACAGCTGCTTGTCCTGCAAGTAAATTGTTGTATAGTGATGCATTGTCTCCTTGGGCATTTTCTGCCTTTTGAACCACTGTACCTTGGCTTTCACCCTCTACTTGTTATCCGTTTGCTCATCCAAGAGCAGAGAGACGGAGGGGGCAGGATATCAGGCAGGTGGAAGTGCAAGGGAGTGGGCCAAAAATTGGCAAGTTGATGTCGCATAATTGCCCCTCGAGCGCTCATCTTAATTATTGTGCTTGCTGACTTTTTGTTGCCCGACTTAATTCCCCGTTAAAGCCAACACACACAGAGCCTGCGGCATCCCGCAGGACCTCGCCTCTGGATTACTCCTTGCTGCTGCCGCTGCTGCGTGTGGCATGGAAATAATTAAAATTGTTCGAGGTTACAGCGCAGCAGCAAATGGTGTTGCACTCGAAGCAGGAAGAGCAGGAGAAGATATGCAGGATATATAGTATATATATTTACACGACAGTAAACAAAAGGACAAAAGGACAAAAGGAGCAAAGCTGAAAGCCAAGCCAAACTTAAATGCTAATGTATCATAAGGGCGAGATATGCTATAATGGTTTCCAGTTTTGTAGAAGCAAGTTGCGATCTCTTACTATTTATAAATTCAATGTAACCCTAAAACATTAAGCCCCATTAAAAAAAATTCAAATTGGCGCGCCCCCCGGCTGAAAATGGAAGTTTTTTTTGGAAGTGGACAGCTGATATTGGCAACACTGCCGTAGGGGGGGGAGGGCCCCCCTCATTGGATAAAAGCAGATCTGTACACTAATTTTACTTTCTACATGCGAATTTTACGCCATGTATGAGAATTATACCACAAAAGGTGAGCAATCTACCTGATGTTTCTGTAAATATGTAAAATTGTTTTATACGCGTGTAAAATGTTCATCTAAACATGGCGATGTCAAATTCCAGGACATTGCTAACAAAACGGGCGAAAAGAACAGACGCGAAAATGTCGCTCCGCATGGAGATCGGTGAAAAATATAGAATCCGGGCAAGTTACGGCGGAAAAAAAGTGGCAGGTGTGAAAATCAGTGAGCCCCGGCAGTGAAAAGTGTTGGTGAAGTGGGGGCAAGGCCGGAAAAGCCCCAAAATCAAAGCCGGAACGCTGCCGTGTTATTTTTTTTTGTAGTCGCTTAGCCAAACCACGTACACACATACATATATGAGTGCATTTCAAGATGGCTGTGTATGCATAAAGCTAAGATCAGTGCGTTTTAGATCAAGTGCGAAAAATTGGAGTGTGCAAGGTGTTTTTTGCACCTTTGTGTGTGCGTCTTCGTTTGCTAATTCGATCTGCAGCCATCAGAATTGATGGAGTGGAAAGTTTTATTCCCCTTTTTGTCTGTGCCTTCGTTCGCTAATTCACCGTTGGGATCCGCAGCAACAAGCCGTGTAAACGAGTGAGTGAAACAACGCTATTTTCTTTTTGCTTTTTTTCTCGCCTACCGTTTTATTCGCCCGCGCATATTTTTCTTGTCTCTTGTCCTGGTATTTGTATTTGTAGCAAGTGCCGTTACTGGGCTTGGTGGTGCTCGCTCTGGCAAGTGGAAGCTAAGAGCGAGAGAGCAACTTAAGAGTACGATCCTCTCTTGGGGGTGTCAATTTTAACAGTTGGAAAGCTGCTGCCTTTGTTTACTTTTTTCTTCTAAGCAATTTGTGAATTTGGGAATGTAGAAAAAAAGGAAGTCTGCAAGCGAAAATTAGTAAAAGGAAAATAAATTATTTGCTTCAAGCATTATTTTACTATAAACCACTATAACTAGTATTATTATAAGGTATATTTTTTACGATTTCAATTGAAATAACGTTTTGTATCTTAAAAAGAGAGAATTTTGTATCATATATATTAATAAATTATATTTTTCCTGTTCCTATTTTCGTATTATCAATATGGATCCGAATAGAATAAATTAACTTATAAAAATATCGAAATATTGGTTAAGAAATGGTATTGTGATTTCAGTCAGAAGCTTAAAAAGAAGTGAAGGAGTCATTTGCGACCCTATATTCCATATATATTATTGATCAGCATCAACGGGCGAATTTTTCTGGCCAAAAAAAAGGGAACAACGTTTTTGAAAAATTTGTACCACAATTTGTAGACGTTTTTTTCATAGTTAACATATTGAAAAGCCGACCAAATTTGGAATAGTTTGTAGGTGATATTTTGGTATGCAGATTTATTAACCTATTGAAAACTAGAACAGAACAGCTTTCCGAATCGATTTTAATACATTTTTGGCAAAGTTATGAGTTTTTTAGACTTTGATTCGCAGAATAAAATATCATATGAAAATATCTAAATATTGGTTAAAAAATGGTATTGTGATTTCAGTCAGAAGCTTAAAAAGAAGTGAAGGAGTCATTTGCGACCCTATATTCCATATATATTATTGATCAGCATCAACGGGCGAATTTTTCTGGCCAAAAAAAAGGGAACAACGTTTTTGAAAAATTTGTACCACAATTTGTAGACGTTTTTTTCATAGTTAACATATTGAAAAGCCGACCAAATTTGGAATAGTTTGTAGGTGATATTTTGGTATGCAGATTTATTAACCTATTGAAAACTAGAACAGAACAGCTTTCCGAATCGATTTTAATGCATTTTTGGCAAAGTTATGAGTTTTTTAGACCTTGATTCGCAGAATAAAATATCATATAAAAATATCTAAATATTGGTTAAAAAATGGTATTGTGATTTCAGTCAGAAGCTTAAAAAGAAGTGAAGGAGTCATTTGCGACCCTATATTCCATAGATATTATTGATCAGCATCAACAGGCGAATCTTTCTAGCCAAAAAGAAGGGAACAAAATTTTTGAAAAATGTTTTCCATATTTTTTTAGACGTTTTTTTCATAGTTAACATATTGAAAAATCGACAAAATTTGGAATAGTTTGTAGGTGATATTTTGGTATGCAGATTTATTAACCTGTTGAAAACTAGAACAAAACAGCTTTCCGAATCGATTTTAATGCATTTTTGGCAAAGTTATGAGTTTCTTAGACTTTGATTTGCGGAATAAAATATCATAGAAAAGTATCTAAATATTGGTTAAAAAATGGTATTGTGATTTCAGTCAGAAGCTTAAAAAGAAGTGAAGGAGTCATTTGCGACCCTATATTCCATAGATATTATTGATCAGCATCAACAGGAGAATCTTTCTAGCCAAAAAGAAGGGAACAAAATTTTTGAAAAATGTTTTCCATATTTTTTTAGACGTTTTTTTCATAGTTAACATATTGAAAAATCGACAAAATTTGGAATAGTTTGTAGGTGATATTTTGGTATGCAGATTTATTAACCTGTTGAAAACTAGAACAAAACAGCTTTCCGAATCGATTTTAATGCATTTTTGGCAAAGTTATGAGTTTCTTAGACTTTGATTTGCGGAATAAAATATCATAGAAAAGTATCTAAATATTGGTTAAAAAATGGTATTGTGATTTCAGTCAGAAGCTTAAAAAGAAGTGAAGGAGTCATTTGCGACCCTATATTCCATAGATATTATTGATCAGCATCAACAGGAGAATCTTTCTAGGCATAAAGGAGGGAAACTAATTTGTGAAATTTTTTTCAATATTTTTTCAGCCGTTTTTACATCATTAACAATCTGAAAAATCGACAAAATTTGGAATAGTTTGTAGGTGATATTTTGGTATGCAGATTTATTAACCTATTGAAAACTAGAACAGAACAGCTTTCCGAATCGATTTTAATACATTTTTGGCAAAGTTATGAGTTTTTTAGACTTTGATTCGCAGAATAAAATATCATATGAAAATATCTAAATATTGGTTAAAAAATGGTATTGTGATTTCAGTCAGAAGCTTAAAAAGAAGTGAAGGAGTCATTTGCGACCCTATATTCCATATATATTATTGATCAGCATCAACGGGCGAATTTTTCTGGCCAAAAAAAAGGGAACAACGTTTTTGAAAAATTTGTACCACAATTTGTAGACGTTTTTTTCATAGTTAACATATTGAAAAGCCGACCAAATTTGGAATAGTTTGTAGGTGATATTTTGGTATGCAGATTTATTAACCTATTGAAAACTAGAACAGAACAGCTTTCCGAATCGATTTTAATGCATTTTTGGCAAAGTTATGAGTTTTTTAGACCTTGATTCGCAGAATAAAATATCATATAAAAATATCTAAATATTGGTTAAAAAATGGTATTGTGATTTCAGTCAGAAGCTTAAAAAGAAGTGAAGGAGTCATTTGCGACCCTATATTCCATATATATTATTGATCAGCATCAACAGGCGAATCTTTCTAGCCAAAAAGAAGGGAACAAAATTTTTGAAAAATGTTTTCCATATTTTTTTAGACGTTTTTTTCATAGTTAACATATTGAAAAATCGACAAAATTTGGAATAGTTTGTAGGTGATATTTTGGTATGCAGATTTATTAACCTGTTGAAAACTAGAACAAAACAGCTTTCCGAATCGATTTTAATGCATTTTTGGCAAAGTTATGAGTTTCTTAGACTTTGATTTGCGGAATAAAATATCATAGAAAAGTATCTAAATATTGGTTAAAAAATGGTATTGTGATTTCAGTCAGAAGCTTAAAAAGAAGTGAAGGAGTCATTTGCGACCCTATATTCCATATATATTATTGATCAGCATCAACAGGCGAATCTTTCTAGCCAAAAAGAAGGGAACAAAATTTTTGAAAAATTTTTTCCACAATTTTTTAGACGATTTTTTCATAGTTAACATATTGAAAAATCGACAAAATTTGGAATAGTTTGTAGGTGATATTTTGGTATGCAGATTTATTAACCTGTTGAAAACTAGAACAAAACAGCTTTCCGAATCGATTTTAATGCATTTTTGGCAAAGTTATGAGTTTCTTAGACTTTGATTTGCGGAATAAAATATCATAGAAAAGTATCAAAATATTGGTTAAAAAATGGTATTGTGATTTCAGTCAGAAGCTTAAAAAGAAGTGAAGGAGTCATTTGCGACCCTATATTCCATATATATTATTG